GATTAATTATCTAAACTAATAATTAACATGAAATGTATACAGTACCTCTGTACCGTCCATGATAGGCATATCTTTGTCCATGAAAATTATGCCAAAATTTGTCCCAAAAATATACAGATCCACTGCTTCCTTTCCATCTTTAACCACTTTCGCCTCTATGTTAAACAATTTTTCAAGCATGCTCTTGTGGATTAAACGAGTTGCAGAATCATCGTCCACAATCAGTGCTGAAATTTTCGCTTTGTCTCCAGTGTTCTGTTGCATCTTTGATTCCATTTAATTCCTGTCCCCATTCCATTGAGCATAAAGAAATTAATTATATCTGAATAAAAAGATAATTATAAATAACAAGAAAAATTATACAGAATGACATTTATAGAAATAAAAATCCAACTATAAAATTGATGAATTCGAGAGGATGTGCAATAGTAAGGTTACATTTATGCTTAAGGGAATTTATGAAAGAGACACGCAAATCACTGCAAATGTGAACCATGTATAGTGCTAGTTAAGATAATAAAATTTGTTTAACCTTTAATTTATAAAAGAGATGAGAGAATTTCATTAATTAAGAATCAAACTCTCATAGACAAAATAGCAGATAATAACCCGTATCATTTAAACTAGCCACTTAACTAGGATTATAGCTTCTAAAAACTGACGACCTGTGAGATGGGTCCAGAGCAAAAATAAACTGAAGATACTATACATTTCTTGAAAATTTTTAAGGATGCACTGCTCTATATTTTCATACTATATCTACCATAATCAATTATCTTAACTGTTAGCCTAAATTCAAGCTTAACTAATCAAGTAAATTAAACGCCACACAAATTTTATACAATCACCATGAAAATGCTTTACATTATAAAAGCAATAAGAAGAAGATTATGATTATGGGACAGAGAGAAAATGTGTTCGAACTACTCACTTTTAATTTCTAACTTTTAAGAAGCGCTCTATCCGGGAACTGTTCATCTTACGGTTCTATCTGTAATAGATCTGTATAAATACTCAATAAATTTCAGATAATACTTTTAATTAATACAAAGATAGCAAGATATACATCAAATTTTCGTTGGGGAAAAATACTAAAGTGAAAGAGAAAAGATAAAATAATATGAAAGTTTGATTTGTATGGTTGTCTTTCTTTTCTTCTTTTGAAAATTTAGATATAAAATTTCAAAAAGTATTTTCGTTTTAGTGATTACTTTCACCACCCAGATACGCAATAATTATTAATTTTGATATATTGAATGTGTAATAATTATCACCATATAATTATATTTAATTCAAATAGATTGCCCTATAATTATTATACTTTTATGGCTGATGCTGTATCGAGCATAAAAATGCTACACGTTGTCACTGGCCATCATTTAAAATTCTTTATTTATTTATTTATTTTACACTAGAGGGTAGGGGTGTTCGCGGTCTGAATTGGATCGGTTTTTGAAGCAAAAATCATCTGATCCAATCTCTTCGGTTTCGGTTTGGATTTTTTTTCAAATCCGATCCGATCAAATCCAATTTTTTTTGGTTTGGATTGGATCGGTTTTCGGTTTTTTGAAAATCCTAAAATTTATTTCATGATTATTGTGCAAATAACATCTTTTGTATATATTGGTTTTGTAATTTTTTTTTTTTTTAAATACAAAAGCATTAGGTTAGGTTTTTTCTTGGTTTCAGTTGATGGGTCTTGGGTTAAGAAATTTTTGGGCTATGATTGGGGAAAGACCCAAGTAGGTAAAAGAGAATTAATATATTGGATCACCGCGGTTTCATCAACCCATCCGAAAACCAGTTCAATTCAATTAAAATTTGCGGGTTTTTTTTCGGTTTGGAATTTTTCGATTTTCGATTTATTCGGTTTTCGATTTTTCGGTTCGGTCACCGCAGTTTGAATCGGTTTGGATCGGTTGATGAACACTCGGGACAAAGCCCAAAGAAAATCTTTACTTTAAAAATAAATAAGATCCACTCATTTGAATTTTGACTTGATATTTAAGCTAGAGTTAAGGGTACAAAGCTGGAGATGCAAAATCCCACTTTACTTAATTTATCCATTAAATTATTGGATTTCATTTTAACCATTTCATTTAAAGATTTATGGATTTGACATTTAATTTTTCAGTTTAGCAGTTTTAAGAGAATAATAAAGAGCAATGTTAAGTAGCTAAAAATAATAATTTAATGATGGTTATTAATTATTCAATAGTCAACAAGCATATTACATCTTTCAGACAGAAATTCTGATATCACTTTTCCGCATGCATGACTCAATGTAACATTTACTTTAAAGTTTAAACGTCAATGTAATTAATACCATTGTAAGAATTTATATTCAAAATTATGCAATTATGATTCGTCACAAACTACCCAAATACTTTATCACCAGCCACTTTTAATTACTTCAATTATTTAACGTTTAAATATCAATGAACTACTTAATCTTAGCCTATTTAATCAGTATATAATTCTACTATGTGTTGCGCAATTATTATTTAAATGTTCAAATTAATGAAATTTAATTTGTTTAACTATCATTAGTATGTATTAAAAATTCAGAAATATATTATTAATGAAAAATATTTAATACATTGATTTATATTTTGATTAAAAAATTTAAGTTAAAAAAATTTAAAACCAGCGTTTACATTGTAAATACTTTTTGATGAACAATAACTCTTGAGTTGTTCTCTCCTCAACCAAAGTAAGAGGTAGAGTTATCTCCATCACCCTCACCTTTCTCTAAAATAAGCAATTTATTTAAATTAATTATTCGTAAAATTAAATATGACTTGTTTACTTTAGATATATTCATATTTTTTAGTGATAACTTTGAATTGCATGTATAAATAAGAAAAGCATTATAACACTTAATTAAAAATATCAGAAAAAAAATAAGAAATGGAATGAAAGTTGTCCCTGACCAGCACCACTAGCGTTCCTTGAGACCTACTTCGGGCCAATGCATTGGAACATTCCTCGTTTCCCTTGCATTCACGCTCAAGTGTTTGGCCCATATATTCCATAGGGGCCACATAGGCTGATCCGTAGTGACTTTGGCTAGCGCACACGCTTAAAAAATATATAATTCAACAACATAAACTTAACAGTACATTTATCTCAAATTAGTTAGAGTCGGTGATACATGAACGCAAAAAATGTTATGAAAAAATTGAGAAAAATAATCAAAATAAACTTTAAGTATATACATCTATTTGTAATACAAAATTACAAGGAAAAATAAATTAAAATAAAATACAAATAAGGATATATAGGAGGAAAGAAAAGAATAAGAATAAGAAGGTAAGAAGTAAAAAATAAATAGAATAAAAATAAAATAAATATAGAGAAAAAAGAAAAGGAAAAAAGATTGAAAGGAAAAATGAAATAGAAGAAAAGAAGGAAAAAGAAAGAGAGGAAGGGGGGGAGATAAAGAAAAAAATGACTAAAAATGGACCGTTTTTAGACAATCAGAATAAAAACGGGTCTAACTATTCACCATACTTATTGCTTTTCTGCACTCCGTCGTAACATGCACTATTCTTCAATCTATATCTCATTTCATTAAATCATGTATTACTACTTTATCTCAAGTAAGTTTCGATCTACCTCAACCTATATTTGTGTCAAACTCTTGGTAACAAACTTTTATTCTTATAGGAGCATCAAGGGATCTTCTCATTATGTGCCCAAACCACATCAATTTATGTTCTCTCATTTTTTTTTCTGCCACATGTACTACTCCCACCAGTTAATTAAAAAATATATAATTAACTATATAATTATTAGGGTTTTTTTATGTTTACTTTCAATGTTATTTTAAAACCAACATTTCATCTATTTTAAGTAATAGTTAGTTTTAAATCTTATAATATAAATTAATTTAAGTTTTCAATACAAATTTTTTAAAGTTAACATTTTAAAATTATCTGTATAAATAAATAAAGAAGTAAATGCAAGCCAATAGGTCAGCTGAATAACCTGTAACTAGCATAGGATTTTATTGGCTAACAGTTCATCAGCCCGAACCATAGGTGACTCATTAATTACGGGTCAGATCAAATTTGGCTTGAACTACAACAGGCTAATCCAAATAATTTAACTTGACCCAAATTGATACCGTAGCAAGCAAATGACACCTCAAGGTATTTGCAAAACTTTTGTAAGTCCCAGTAGTGATTGGATTATTGGTTTTCAATAATTTTATCATTTTTTTTTTATTGAATACCACATATATAAGCCATTTTGAAATTTTACTCTGCTGCCCAAAGAACTACTACAGGTTGTGCAATACTGAGTTAAATAGATGCAATTTATCTTGTATAAGGAATTAGCCATTCCATTTTATCTTATATAGACTTTGTACCTTTACAAATTGGTCCTTGCGCTAAGATGGTTCTATGCACGGAACTTAACCTTTCGAAATTCGATCTACAACATCCACCACACTTTCCTTTAAAAGCCACACCTACTTCAAAACATAATTCTTTTAACTCATTGATATCAACATTAACTCTTTTGGATTCCGGCAATCAACTACAACTCCTTAACTGACAATACATGCAACTATAGCTATACACATGACAACACCAATATAGCCATAGAAGTCACACTTTGGAGGTGGCCTAATTGACTTTTGCCTCCACAATAAACAACTATCATTGTACTTAACGATCACTTTAAGTAGTGTTAAGTTAGATCAATTCTACTTGCGCGAAACCTCCGTGAGCTAGGCACTAACTTTCTAGCTCCATGATTTGTTTCAAAAATTTCATTGAGATTAGCTTGAATATGCGTTTCAAGTTTATTAGCAACCCTAAAGCATGCAAAGCAGCATTTATAAAAAAAAAAGGGGGGAAGAAACACAGAAGATGCCAATTATTTAATTTATGAAGAATTTGTTTCAAGATATCAATTTTACAGACTATGAAAGTCACAAACACTTGATACAAATTAATAAAAATTCCATTACAGAGAAGAAATGAGAGTTGTCATGTGCTAGCATCCAATGCTAGGATGGTGCTGAGGTTCATTGGGTTCATGTATTTTGTAGAACCTGACATAATTTGCTCCACAATAAGTTTGTTAGCCTTTTCGGATGGATGGAATGAATCCCAAAATGCATATGAGTTTCTATTTAGGCATAAGTTAGAGAGCGGTGTGCATAACCCAATTCCATTGTAGGGTCCTTGCCCACAACAAGCAATTTGTGAGGTAGTAAATCCTGCCCAACAAACAACATATTTATATATAAGTGTTAATTGGTGCTTAATTTATAATATTGTTTCCTTTGAATAATATAATTAATTTCGATAAACAAGTAGGCATAGAAGTTAGAGTACCATAAGCTCTAGGATTATTAATGAAATTAAAATGCATTCGTGCTGTATTTGCAGCGATAAAAACGTCTCTGCCAATTTTCTTGTTGAGTCCTTGTATCATGTGTTGTAGTTGAGGGTTGTACAATGCTGCAGCTCGTTGAAGTTCAGCAGAACACCCTCCATTTGTTCCACGCATTGCCAATTCCGCTGGAACACAACCCAATGGTCCAGTACCCGTCACAAGCACTCTGCGAGCTCCTCGATCATATAGTCTCTGCAATAATTAATAATTTGTTACGCAAAGAAGCAGGACCACATGCATGAACTTCATTTGGCTAGCTAAGTTATTATTATCATTTTACAATAAGTTAATTATTGTTAATGTGTGTGTGTGTGTGTTTTTTATGAGACTTGATTACCTCCAAGAGTTTACGGTACTCTATAATGAGAATTTTGACATAATCCTGTAGCGTATACTGTCGAGACCTTGCAGAAAAAGGCACCAAGTAGTAATTGTTTACGAAATCGTTACCACCGACAGTGATGAGAACCAATGCTTGATTGACAAGTGTCATAGTCCGCGCTGCTCCAATTTGAGATGTCAATCGTCGCTGATACTCTTCAAAGTAGTCCAACTGTCTATACATTCTAATTATATTTAGCTGCAAAATTAAGTCGTTGCCACCTTACATTAGCATTTTAATTTTAACCAAAGATGCTTAATTTTTTTCATTCCAATTTTTATAATTGGAATGTTAAATTTGAGATCTCAATTCATGCAAAAAAAATGAATACCATGCATGCACTTCTAGCTTGCAGTGCATTATATATATATATATATATAGTGGCAGTGGACTTACAAACTGAGCTCCAGTGTCGTTAAGGATCCCAATTCCAGCGGAAGCAAAATTGGCACCAAGTAAAAGTTTGTCACCTCTTAATTCTGGACTCAAGTATGGCAACACGGACTTAGCACCTAGTCGTTGACCTGTTAATCAACGCAACAAATAGTATTAAATATTAGATACACATTGGAGAACTAAGGTTTTATGGTATGATACTTAATTAATAAATGATAATTAATTAGTTTATGGAATTAATGATACTTAACTAATCAGATCGGGAATGTTGAGTCCGTTTGAAAAACGACCAGTTGGTCTGCGAGTTGGATAGTCAATTCCATAAGGAGGGGAATCAGCCCGTGCAGTAGTTGCCAAGTAATTGTTATTGCCACTGTCAACAAGTGAATCACCAAATACAAAGAAAGCCCTTGGCTTGGCATCTGCTCCTGGGACAATGACCCCAACTACTAGAACTGTTATCACCAAGGTAACAAAAGTTGAGGGATGTGCCATTGAGTTGAAAATAACCTTTCGATGTGTATGTGGATGCAGTATCGTGTATAGGCATTCAAGGCTTTTTATAGCTGGTTGTATTTTTATTTTATTTTTTCAAACCAAAAAGAAAAGAAAAGAACATTATTATTTATTAGATATATTCCACTAGCCAATATAGGTTTGGGGTACATTGACTTGCATGTCAACTTTTAGGTGGTCTTTAATTGAATCTGAATGATTCAAGTTCTAGTTCTAAAAGTGCATGACATGTGAGGAGGGTAAAAGAGACGACGGGTTGGATGAACGAAGATGCAACTAGTAATTATTTCCGCCGCCCAAACAAACGTCATTGTAAAATTAGAAAAAAGAGATGAAAGAAACAGAAAAGTGAAAACAGGTATGTTTCCTGTGGTTGATGCATGCTTTTAATACAACCAGTATAATTACTTTTTAGGTGATGAATTATTCTTGTCACGAATTGAATATTCAAGCTAAGACTGCGGTGCAGAGCGCTTTAGACACTATTGCCAGTTGGCAGTTTACAAGTTGCCACGATCTAATTGTCTGTCAATTATTTCTCTCCCCTAAGGCAATTTTTACTAGCATGTGAATTTTATCAAATAATAAGTTTTACGTCATATCTTAATTTTTATACATCCAACAGTAAAAATTTATTGGGTCATATTAATTAATTAATTATTGTAATTCAATAAATCTTAACCATTAAATACACAAAAATCAATAATTAAGATATAGATTTATTATTTTTATACTGATATAAGTTGATTATATATATATATATGGATCAGGATCATTTTACACCAGTATAAATTACACTCTTAATCTTATCTGTTGATCCCACTTATATCTAAGGGCTCTAATTTCTTAGCAATGTGAGCCATTGGATACAAGTGGATCAATAGTTAAGATTGAGTGTAATACTTTTAATTTTTACACCGGTGTAAGAATATCATATCCCTATATATATATATATATTCTATTTTTTTCCTTAATTTATTTTCTTCTTTAGATTTAGTTATTGATAAACCTTTAGTTTATCTAGTTTTAAGGATTAAATTCACATGAAATATCAAGTCAAATATATGAAAACTAGGGTTTATTAATATAAAAACATGAACTATTGAATTATGAGTTAAATAATTGATGTTTGCCTATTTTGAAGGTAAATGATATTAAATGGAAGCAAATTTGAAGTTAAAACTTGGAGATCAAGGACTTAAAAATCATGAAGATCCCAAGTGCAAATATAGAAAAATTGCAATTATTGAAGAGGAGGCTTAAGCTTCCATTTCGAAGCTTAAGCCCCAAAGTCACTAAATGTCTCTGTACGAGAAAGCTTAATTAAACCTCCAACTCAGGGTTTAAGCACGCTGCCAATTAAAAATTCTTCTTCGAAGAGGGTGCTTAAGCACCCATCACTGCGCTTAAGTGCCCCATGTGAAATTGCATGGCTGCCCATGGACACTTAAGCGCCCATCACGGTCCAACTTAGGCTTAATTGAAGGTTTTCACTTAGGGCACAGAATCTTTACCCATAAGAGGGCAATTTGAGAAAGAATTGATCATTCTTGACGATCGGAAGCATAAGAGAAGTGGAGGAAACACTTAGTTCATGTTCTTGAGAGTTAGAGACGGATCAGGATCAAGTTTGCACTGGAATTATTGAAGATTCACCATTCAACTATAGAGTTTGGGGGAGATTTCTTAATTTCTTTCTTTCTTGATTTCATTATGTCCGGCTAAATCTTTATAGTAGTTAGGGTTAGATGGAACTCAAATTATGTATTATGTTTTGAATAATTCTTTATGCTAATTTTCCTTTTTATCATGAATGAAATTGTCTTTTCTTAATGCTTTCTATGAGCTTGAATCTTGTAGATTGATCTTAGGTAAATGCATGGCAATAGGAGTGTTGGTGCATGATCCGTATCTGACAATTTCATCGTAATATTTATGATTCTAGTGATAGATATAGGGTTTTGCGCAATCTTATGATTCTTGAACGTAATGCTTATTTTCTTGGAGAATAACCGGGGAACTAGGGTTCTTGCAAGATTATAAACATTTATGATGTCAAGTGATTGAATCCTAATTAAATTAACAAAATCGATTGGATTGATATTAAGGATGATTAATATAAAGAGCGAACTCAAATATAATAGAGAGGTTGAGGGAAGTCAAAACCCTAACTACGTTTCTTTTCAGTCAAGTAATCCAAACTTTTACGTTCTTGTTTTTATTCTTGTTTTTAATTAGTTTTAATATTTTAAATCCAAATTCAAATCTTGTTACAAATTCAAAATTGATTGTCCAACTTAAGTAGAAATAGTGAATTAGTGTTTAAAACTATAATTCTCGTGGGAACGATCTTGTACTCGTAAACTTTATTACTTGTATCAGTTGTATGACAGGTGCACTTGCCGAGTCCGCAACAGTTATATATTTTTTTTACTTTAATTTTTTCTATAAGTTTTGTGAGTTTTTAACATATTTAATCTTATTTTTTTTCTTCTATTTTTTATCCTTAATTTATTTTCTTATTTTTAATTTAGACATATTTGATTTATTCTATTTTTTTTTTTTTTACTTTTAGTCTTTTCTATAAGTATTGTAAGTTTTGAACATATTTGATCTTATTTTTTTTCTTTTTTATCATCAGTATATTTTTTCTTCTAAAAAGGATAAAATAGTTAGATTAGTTTCTAACATGTTAAGAATGGATTTGGATAGGAAAAATCATAGGGAATAAGCAATTAAAAAAAAGCATAGAAAATAAGTGATTCAAAGCAAAATGCTAGAGGATTTTTTGAATTTTTCCCAAAAATAAACATTGTTGGCACAAAAGAAAATAGACTGATAATAAAAAAGATCAAATATGTCAAACAAAACAAAAAACACTTCTTATAGACCGATGGAAAAAAAAAAAAAAACAAGATTCAAATATGTTCAAATATTTTTTTTATTTAAACTATTCTTAATTTTCAATTAAAAAAAAAAAAAAAAAGACATGCTCACCGGGCATGCCCAACAATAACATGCTTCCATATCATGTTTTCCGATGCTGGATAATCAGCTAATCCTTATCTCGCCCCATTCAATGAGGAGTTCACAGGGAGATTCTCCTCCAATCAGGCTGCACTAGATCAGCGTTCATCTCCTTATCCAATCGTCCTTAGCAACTCCATCAGCCTACAGGAAACTGATCGCATCAAGAGCATTAACTCCAATCGTCCTTGCCACTATGTTCGTTGCGCACGATATTGTGCGTGCAACTAATTGCGCTCTATTTTATGACTCCTAATTGTATTAGATATATACTTATTTTTTAAAAACAATATTAGTGTTGCAATTTTTTTTAAAAAAAATTCATGGAAATTAACCCGGTCAGATTGAATTCAGAGCGCCGAGCAGATGTCACCTGACATATGTATTCCCTCAAATGTGCCCCTACAAGTTCTTTCATCAATTCTTTTAATTCTGTAGAACTGGAAAAAAAAAAATTCAATGCCTTTTGAGCATTGAATAATTTTTTAATCAAATTGTTCAATGTGTCGTAGAAATTAAGGCCGGTTGATGAATTTTCATTTGGCCATTATAATTAACAATTTTAAAATAACTAATTTATATGATAGTATTAGTTTCTATACAATAAAGATATATTTTTAAAATAAAAAAGTTAAATTTGTGATGGATATGTTTGAGTTATTATATATTTTTTTACTTAATAATTTAAACTTTTAAAAAAATTAATCCATAAACATGGATCTTTGTTGCCTTTGTTTTTTTGTTTAAATTTTAATTAATTTTTAACATAAAATAAGGACATATTAAATAATAAAATTATTCATATTACTTTACACGTGTTAGATGATAAAACTATTCCTGTAGTAGGAGCCGCTTAAGACAGTCATGTAAAAAAAAATTAAAAAAAAAAAAGAGAGAAAAAATTATAGAACACAAAAATTCACTTTTTATTCTGCGGTTTTTTTCTGCGCTTACAGAGAGAATGAGAATAAAGACGGCACTCATCCTCATTTATCCAATACAACATTATACTATTTGGTAACCATTGACTCGGTTACTACTTTGGCTCCAAACTAATTTTCATGACATTGCAACACTGTGATATATCACAAATTAATTAACGAGTAGAATTTTTGTAGGACACAAAGAGGGTGCAGTACTAAAATGACAGTTCCTGGTTTAGCTATTCTGAGAATCCAAGGCCAAAGCAGTGCTGAGATTCATGGGATACATATACTTTGTGGTGCCTGACATGATCTGTTGAGTGATAATCCTGTTGGCCTTTTGTGATGGATGGAAAGGATCCCAAAATGCATAAAGGTCACGATTTGGGCACAAGTTGGATACCACAGTGCACAGCCCAACACCATTATAAGGTCCTTGACCGCAGCATGCTACTTTTGATGTAATAAATCCTGCATCCACAACAACCACACGCTTTATTATATCATCAATCATTAATGCCACATTTAATTGTTTGATTTGATTACGATTTAGATGCATTCCTCTTTTAATAGAGGAAAGATTCTTTGATATTAGTGTCAAATTTGAAATTTGACACCTTATTCGATAGTTGTTAGATTAAAAAATATCAATAGTATCACATACTTACAAATCAATTTAATATTTTTTGATCTAACGACTCTCAGATGAAGTGTCAAATTTCAAATTTGACACTGGTGTCAAAAGGAGAACCTCATTTTAATCATATTCATAAATGAAAGTTCTTATCTATCTATATTCATGAATGATCAATAGTTGGCATAAAACAAAGAAATTTAGCATCTGTTTAATTGTGTTTTTGATTTTTTTTTTTAAATTATTTTGTAGAATAGTTAACAAAATATGTGTTTTTCATTTATTTGTTTTAAGTTACAAGTGAAAAACAAAACTAGTAGTATATGAATTTTATGTGTGTCATTTTAAAGGACGTAAGTTGTGTCATTTTAAATTTTTTTACTCTATGTACTCCCGATAATATATAGTTATAACATAAAATGCTTTTTTTTTCACTTTCCACATCAGCTGATGTGGAGAAAAAAAAAGAATAATTTTTCATATTATAACTATATACTAGCATCTATGAGAAATACATAAATTAAAAAAACAAAAAATACACAACTTTCGTCCTTACACAAAATTTTAGTATATTTACCATATGCTCCAGGGTTATTGATGAAGCTATTGTGCATCTCTTGCGTGTTGGCTCCGATGAAGACATTTGAGCCAATTTCGCTATTGAGTTGTTGGATCATCTGAACAAGCTGAGGGTTGAACAAGGACGCGGCACGCTGCAGTTCAGGTGAGCATTGCCCATTTCTGCCTCGCATGGCCAATTCCGCTGGAACACAACCCAGTGGACCAGTTCCCGTCACCAGTACCCTACGTGCTCCAATATCATATAGCCTCTGAAATGCAATTTCAAATTCAAGACAGTGATCAACCATATTAAGGAAAACGACCTAGGAAAGAAAATTAATGGAGAGATAAGGATGGAATTAATTAATTAGGGACTAATTACCCTCAGAATTTTCTTATACTCAGAGATTAAATATCTGACATAATCTGGTAAAGAGTACTGGCGAGATCTTGCAGAGACCGGCACCAAGTAATAGTTATTCACAAAATCGTTTCCTCCAAGAGTGATGAGGACTAGTGCTCCATTTACTAAGCGCTGAGTCCTCGCAGCTCCAATAAGAGCACTCACCCTCCGCTGGTATTCTTGAAAGTACTCTAGCTGTCTGTATATTCTGATTATGTTTACCTTCAATTGCAATAACATACATACATTCATAATCCATCAATATTATTCACCACAATTTCACCAAAAAATTTATGTCTAGTGAACTACCAAACTGATAAATAATTAATAAGCATCCTGTGTATTATTTAGATTTTTTAAATTCAGCTAATTTTTTTTTAAGAAAAAGTATAGGGTCAAAAGAAAAAAAAAAAGATTTTAAAAATTAAAAATGATAATATATATGCAACATAATTAAAGTAAAAGAGATACGATAAAAGTGGAGGAGCCACGTTGGTGCTAGTCATAGGCACTAGCTAAAAAAATTTTGGGGGCAATTTTTGGCACAAGCTAACATTTTTTGTAACATTTTTTGCTGGGTTCGCCAGTGAATGATAATGTTCAAGAGTCTCTCCATTTTCACATACAAATTGGATTCCAGTGTCATTGAGAATTCCAATGCCAGCAGATGCAAAGTTGGCACCAACAAGCAATCTTTGTCCAGTGAGCTCGGGACTTAAGTAAGGCAAAGTGGATTCTGCCCCAAGTTCTTGACCTGCAAAATCACATAAATACGATAACAATTGAGTTAATTAATATCTTTAACTACATTTTATACAAGCACTCGTAATAAACAGAGCATGAAGCGGGTGATAAATTAAAAAGACAAGTTAACCCAACTGATAAAGTCAGGAATGTTATAGCCATTAGAGAAACGGCCAGTGGCTCTGCGAGTTGGGTAATCAATGCCATAAGGAGGAGAGTCTGCTCGAGCTGTTGTTGCCAAGTAGTTGTTGTTGCCATTATCAACAAGTGAATCCCCAAACACAAAGAAAGCACGGGCTCCCTCTGTCCCTGTGAAACAGCTAGCTAGTGACATGGCCAGAACTAAAACAATGTAAGACACGGAAACCATAGAGCTAGCCATGGATTTGGATGAAGAGGAAAATGGTGTGATATGATGATTGGTGGCTACACTAGAGAAAAGTAGAGAGAGCACAGAGCTAACAATGAAAAATCAAGTTGATTTTTCAGTGTAAGTTGAGGTAATCAGGAATGGGTCTTAAATAGTCTTGAGATCCTGTGATTATAGGAAAAATTGGATGGCCCACGTTGCAAAAGCAATAGGACAGGTAGTTAGTTGCATATAAAGGAAATTAAGGCCGTGAGGTCTCAGATACGACCAAAGAACTGATTCAGGATACGATCTAACAATAGTCATACATACACATGCCTGATATAATGTGGTAAGATTTTTACGTTCTTATAGGTAGAAGTACATTTAAACCTGCAAAATATTACCGACCAAAAAGAAGCTAGAACTGGCAACTGCGTTTCATTCTTCTGCTGGACGGGACATTTTACCACTCGAATCGAATGAAACACATTGGCATTTGCATTTTGTACCACGTGTGCTTCCTCTATCTCTAGGCTGTAGCAAGCTTTGTAATATTTTTGGGCAATTTATTCATTCACAATTAACAAACCTTTCCAAAGTAAATTACCTTCAACCGAGTTTCAATTTCACACTAACTTAACACGACAATGGATGAATTTAATATACATATTTGAAAAATTCTCTAAAATTTCTTGGTGAATAACAAATAATAAATTGGAAGGCTGAGGTTGAAGGAAATTTATGTTGTATTATTATTTTTATTTTTATTTATAAACATGTTGTATTATCTTTTTCTTGAATATGAATAGGTCTAAGACAAGTATTATATGAAAAGAAGGAGGAATGATGTCCTCCCTAATCCATTCATGACTTCATCATTGTCTTTACAATAATCCCCGTAACAATTTAAAAAAAAAAAAAAACGTAACAGATAATTTTATAAAGAATCGTTATAAACAATGGGGAAAAAATTATTGTCATTATACATTTCTTATTTTGGTGTGACGTTGTAATTAATGCTGGTGAAAAGAAAAAAGGTCGCAAAAATATTTCTTGCACACCCGGTTTTTTTACAACATTTCTTATACTTTTTTTGTCTTGGAAAAAGAAATTAAAAAATGTGTTAAAATGTGTATTTTTTGGCTTGAATGTTGGAACCAAAACACGACCAAATAAATATGTAACCACTTATAATTATTTTCATTTCTCAATCCTTCCCTCTACCTCTAGTAACTGATAATCTCTTCTATCTTTTAAATCGGCATAAGGTGTTGCATTTGGTCACAATTTTGTCCGTAAATGATTCCCACTCTGCAATCTCAATGGTACATAGCATTCAGAAATTGTTATTTGAAGACATGGCCAACAATTCAATGGTGAAAACTAGAGGTGTGCAAAATAACAAAAAACTTGAATCAAATCATGAACCGAACCCCTAGCGGACCTATATTGTTGCAAGTGTGTGCAAGTGCACACACTAACTTTTGGAAAAAAAAAAAAAAAAAGTAGTCAGTGAATTGTCATTCCATTGTATCACCTTTCCTCCGGCTGTCTCAATTCTTGCATATTCTTGATTTGGCTAAATATGACAACAACAAATCACAAGTTAAAAATTTAACATTTTAAAGGAGATGCACAACTAAACTAGAACTCTAGACGGAGAGGGATTTTGGTGCTCCCGGACCACAGTTAATTCAGTGGGGACCAATTAAAATCATATAGTTATTGAGGAGAGAGAAGAGAGGAGAAATAAAAAATAAATTTTTGTCCAGATGGCAATCCCTAAATGGAAGGACCACATGGGACTTGGAGCACCAAAAAAATTTCCTCTAGAAGCAACTTACTTTATGGTTATTAAAAAAAAATTACAATATGCAAAACTATTCATAGTATCTTTAAAAAAAAATTGGGGACACTGCCCTCGAACCCAATCACTAATTATGCAGACATAAGTAGGGTTCGCCACTAAACCGAACCGCCCTTAAAATAATCGATTTTTAAAAACCAGTTTAAGAACCGAACCAGTTTTTAAAGAATCAGTTCATGAACTAAACCGATTTTTAGAATCAGTTTAAGAACCGAACCATTTCCGAACCGAACCAAACCATTTTCAAACCAAACCAAATTGATTTTTATAACTTTATTTTTTAAGTTTTAAATTTTTCTTTTCTTTTCAAAATAGGGTCGACCCGAACAGGTTCCGAACCGAACCGAATCACTTCTGAATCGAACCAGTTTCGAACCAAACCGAACCACTTCTGAACCAAATCATTTAAACCAATTCGTTTTGATTTTTTAAAAAATTCGATTCGGTTCGACCCATGCACATCCCTAATGAAAACATATGCTTGGCCGCCAATTGAATAGAAAAAATATGTGCTTTTGTGCACGTATTGACAAAAGTTTTATCATTTTTGTCAATCTCCCATTTAAAGTTACTTTATGTGAGGTGTATATGTCGTTGTGAATTTTCTTTGAATACTCGCCTCCTTGTAAAATAAAAGAAATTTGTCATCTTTATATTCTCCTCAATTGTTTGTCCTCAAGCACTTGATTTTTTTCTGAATTCAAGTTTTAATTACTTGTGCTTTGAAGAACTTCAAGGTTTGAAACACATCGGATTTCTTCTTAATTTGATACACCTATAATCTCCTAGAGTAGTCATCAAAGAATGATACAAAATATTTTGCTTTTTCAAGGGAAATTTCTGGTGACTCTCACACGTCTGAGTGAACCTAATCTAGTATGTACATCCTTCTATGAGTTAATTTATCAAATTTCAATTTACTTTGTTTACTTATAACACAATGCTCACAGAAATGTAAGTTTATCAATTTGAGCTCGTGAAGAAGATTATGTTCTATGAAAATCTACAATCCTTGTTTTGATATGTGTAGTTTGAGGTGCTACATAGTTATTAATCTTTTTTGATTGGTTGAAGCTACTGATGTGTCTTCCCCTTGTAACGTATCTTCAATAAGCTTGTAGAGAATTGATGTTATGTTCTCTGCTTTCATCATCACAAGAACACCTCTCACAACCTTCAGGATCTCTCCTTCGATATTTGTCTTGCATGTGAAGTCATCTAATTGCCCAATTGATGAGCATAGATCCTACCGAGATAGGCTTGCAAGTGCAAAATCGGTCTCGTTTAGCCTCCATTGTGAACTATTTCTTTCTAATTTTCATAAATTTCAATTGTAGTTAAGCAATTTTCCTTCCTTAAGATTGCCTTGATATTCGGCTTTCGTAGGGAGAAGTTACACCCATTGAGCTTCACAATCACAAATTTTGTTACCATAGTATTGACAATACTTTATTTATTAACAATTTCGGGTTATATTATTCTGTTGTGAATAGTACCGTAATGTGAACAATACTATGCATACAAGTAGGTTCATATACTAGAACAAATTTAATATACATTAGCAATGTTGTAAAAGTATCCAACTACGTGTATGAATAGTAACCATTAACACTACCGCAACGTGAATACTAGCTAGTAACCAATGAGCTTTCACATCACTGATAGGTACAAAAGTATAATACAACTAAAATTGAGTTGAAAGAAATAGAAATTAAAACAATAAATTTAATGTGAAAAACTCTTAATTGCACGAGCAAGAATAGAAAATTTTACACGAAGTGAAAGAAATTACAATATCTCTATATATAAAGAGAGAACAATAACAACCTATATACATTTCATTCTTAGAAAACACTCAGAATACACTTTATATATTTTCTCTTTGTGTTTTGGGATGACCGAAGCTAACCCTAAAATTCAAAGCTTGTATTTTTACCTATAAGGTGTTGCACTCGTTAATAATTTTCTCCCCAAAAAATTCCCACTTTTTGCAATTTCAATAGTACATAGCATCAATAGTAAATAGCATTCGAAAATCGTGATTTGAAAACATGCAACCAATTCAATAGCGAAAAGATGTGCTTTTGTGCACATATAGACAAAAGCTACTGAAAATGGCTTCACCGTATGTATATATAAAAAAAGTTTATTAATCTCATGTTAAAAGAGATAAATTATCTTATGTCATAGAAATAAATTTGTGGACTCACTTGAAAAAAAAAAGGTGACACAATTATCGAAGAGTGTGTAGGAAAGAAATTTATCACATGTAACATAAGATTAGTTTTTCCCTAAAAAAAATTTACCGCTTTCGTCATTGAACACTCGAAGAAGTCACCACGGACGATCAATAACCACCATCAAGATGATAGAAATAAATAAATAAATTTACCATCATTGCTTCAAGTATCACCATCTAAATAATTTTATATCTAAAAAAAATGACATAAGAATGATATAAATTAAAATCTTCTTAAGAAAAACTCAGCCCTTAAAAATATTTTTAATGTACATTATATTTTTTTATAATATATTTAATTATTTTTGAATTGTAGGATCTCAAAATGTACTTCCATAATAAAAAAATTTAAAAAACAAATCAAGGAATATTCGAATGGTATAAAAAAAAGAGGTTTGTTAATGCACATGTTGAGGACATTTGTTAAAAATTTTAAAAAAAAATTACAAATAAAGTATAATATTTAAAATTTTAAAAAAAATTGATATTTTTTCTTTAAGTAGACTCTTAATCAATGCCTTGTTGCCGGATTTTAAGCTACAAATCCAACATATTCATAGTGATTGCAGGATCGTCCTCTCCCTTTCATATGGACAGACTAAGGAATAGTCAACTAATAATAACGAAAATCACAGACTAAGGAATAGTCAACTAAGTATATATTCTATAAAAGTAAAACAAAAATTGTGCATACATGGGTGAGTAAAAGATGTATATTTTGTTTACAAATATTTAAATTCTTAGGAATGTAAACTAAATAATGACAATTACTAGTTACATAAGTTCACTTTCACAAACTCTAGATATTAAGAACCTTTTTGGCGTCCTTTTTTTTAAGTCAAAAGTTAATTTAAATTAAGTTAAGAATAAAAACTTAAAAAAAAAAGTTAAAAACTGTTTGGAGATTATATAAAAAAAAAATAGGTAAAGGAAATTATTGCTTTTTTTAAAGCTGATATATATATTAAAAAAATGTCATCTTAAAAGCTTATAATTTTTTTATTTTTTATGCATTATAAAAAAAACTCTTTTATGATAAGAGCTTTTAAAAAAATATATATCTTTGGCTAAATTACTCCTTTTAAGGAAAAGAAAAACTAAAAAATAATCAACTGAAACTTAAACATATTATGGATATGCTTCAAAAAATTTGTACTACACACATGCTATCAAGGGGGAAAAAGGTTTGCCATAATTTACTTAATTAAAGCCCGTTTTGATGATTTTCTTTTTCGTCAAGAAATAATTTTTAAAAAAATATAATAAAAGTATTTTTTATTTAATATATATTTGAATACATCTTTTAAAAAAAATTAAAACGGTGCTTTTTTAAGTCAAGAATACTGGCTTTTAAAAAAATAAAAATAAAATACCAAATATTTTTCTTAAAATTTATTTTTGCTCTAACTTCATTTCCGCCACCACTATTATTATCACTGATAATTTTATACATAAAAAATATTTATTAATTATAATATTCAAGTAAAATTTTTAGATAAAATTATTTTTTATATCTATTTAAACGTAAAATAGTTTTAACTTTTCAAAAAAAATCTAAAAAAAAGTAATGCAAGAAAAGGTTTTTCTTTTCTTTTCAAAATTAACAAACGAGCTTTTAGTAATCCACACGTACAGTAGTTGTTATTTGACGTACGTTAGGCAAAAGAATTGTCGCGTTAATTTTCAATAGTACTGGTTTTACTATAATTTAAACACGTATTTATTGTTTAGAATCACAAGCCGTTTAACACTTGAATTTTAAGTAAATTAAAAAAGGAAGGTTTGACTAGATGAAGAAATATCAAACAGATCAGGAAGGTTGGATTTATGTGTGTGGATTCCTATTTGTCATTTTAAATCGTACTTTTTCATAATTCATGATTATATATGATGGAGTCGACCAATAATTGACACGCATTCAATAGCTTGAAGTTTGTCGTCGTTGTCTTTTAAAATTTTAAAATTTTTGGTAATAGCTTGACGTATGTTTTTGGGGAAGAAAAAAATGTTCCAGAGCATTATTCCTCTTCAATCCCCATCTATCATAATACTAATACCATAGGTAGATATATGTCAAGTTCCTATACTACAAATTCAATTATATCGGTATATGAAGGTAAATGCCCAAAGATGAGATATTCGCTGTCAATTATTGTAACATATATTAATGAATCAGAAAGCAATGTTTTCATCGCGTTATATATGTGGACCGAGCAAACACCTGCTTCCCCTCTATTTTCTCTACTTGTATGCCGTCATAAGTCACTTAATGGTCCAATAGAAAATTAAATAAATAAACTCCAATTTTAAATGACTATATAGCCATCTATTAAGGGATAAACCCTTGAACAAAAACATTAGTTTTTTCCCCCCAATAATTAAATTAATCTATCACGGTTTAAATAGTAGGTGTATACAAAGGCACATAGGTACATGGACAGGGATACTAAATCTGTTTGTCCTTTTTGTTCCCCCTCTTTTTTTTGTGTTTTCATTTTTGTCTTTCTTTTTAATGGAATAATGACAATTCAAAAAAAAATTGAAAATTAAAAGAGAAAATGTTATAATCTAAAAGATAGATTTTCTTAAATTATAATTATTCAATTAAAAAGACAGAAAAAATATACAATGGATTTAAATTCACAGTCATATATAGAAATAGACTCCGTTGTTTTCGAATCATAAGAAGATTAAGATACGATTATAAGGACCACTTAATAATTAATATGTAATAATCGAAGGAAAAGTAACAGTATGAGCTGTATACTATAGACTTTATAATACCAACCACTACACCTAATATCCTTGACATCACATAATTTGGCTGAAGAAACGGTTCAACTAACATCCCTTCACCAACGACGAAGTGTTAATTTGATCTATAATTGATTCCGCTGAGATTCTTCAACCAACTTTTCAGGCTATTCAATTCAAAACAAATTAAGTCGTAAACTCGAACTGGAACTCAAATCACCCACTTCGTCGAACCCGTGGCTAGTTACCCACCTCAATCTAGTAAGAAACAGCATGGTTGATGCAATTCATATGGCAACTGCACACTGTGGCCGGAAATGATATGTACTTTCTGAAAAATAAATAAATAGGATTAATCGCTCCTTACAGTGTTATTAAATTCGACCCGGACAGCGTACTGGGTCACTGGTCGGATCGGTGGGTCACTGGTCGGACCGGTTAACCCGGATATATATAGATATATATAAATATAAACATATAAATTCAATTATATTCTTCCTATCTAAAATGAATTAAACACAGTTCATTAAATAAATTCAAAAACTTGAAGCATAAATAAATAAAAATGCATGTTATTACTATGTCAAATTAAATTGCAACTCAGAATCCCCGTAAGCATACCTCTCAATGACATTGAATTCATATTTTTCAAATTCAACTACAATAAAAATGACATATGTCACATTCTCTTAATTTATTATTCCGCAAATTGCTTCAGTATTGGAAGCTGAAATTTGAGGTCATTGTAATACTAGCAAATAAAATTATAAAAAGTTTTTAAAATGAGTTCTACATTTTTTTTTTGATAAGATGAACAATTTTTGGTTTTTTAGTTTTTTTTTTTTAAATGCATGACCCGACCCGGGTCACTGGGTCACCGGATCACCGATTTTGGCTGGATTTGGCCGGGTTTTGACTGAGTTTGACCGGATCAATGCATGATAGGTCCAATACTTGATCCGAACCGGTCCGATGACCGGTTCACCGGATTCCAGGTTGACCCGGCCAGGTCGGGCCGGGTTTTACAATTATGGCTCCTTATATTTTGTTTTGGTTTCTTATACGAAACTTGGAAGAGCCTGACTTCAAAACCTAACCCGAGATATAGCTTGATTGCATCTCGAGACATAGCGAACGTTTTTTATAACAATTGATACGAACTTTATAAGAACCTCACCTCAAAAGCTAGTTCGAGAGATAGGAGAGTCCAAAATTCATATAAATTTCACATTAATCACTTGTATAACTAATATGGGACTCAAATTTTATACCTTGTAATTGGATCTCGTTGTAAAGTAAACATATATAGATAAAGGTCAAAATTGCAATTACCTTAATTTACTCCATGTAACGCATTTGGAGGCCGAGTTAATGTCACAATAAGAGACTGATGAGGCGCGCGCATAGGCCCCTATATATTTATTTCAGCAATGTTCTTAGGTTGCCAGCTTCGAAGGTTGGTGCCCTCTTTAAATGCATTTTCGGGAGGGAGGGGTGTTTGGATGACAAGGCTATCCCAAAAGGATTGAACTTCACTAGAACTAGCGTACATGCATGCCTTATTCCATCACCGCTTATACGAGAAAAACAATTTAGATGACCACTCCAAGACAACTGAAAGTTTTTGTTGTATATTTAAGTTGTTTAGTGAAGGCAATAAATAGTTTTATATTTTTTAAACCGGTTTTCTGATCAAGCTCTTTTTACTTAAATTTGAGCAATAATGCATGCATATTTTTAACAAGGGGAACGAATATTTTGACTTCGGTGTAAAAAAAAAAAAAAAAAAAATCTTACTTTATATCTTAGTTATTGATTTTTGTATATTAACAGTTATAATTTATTGAATTATACCTATTAATTTATTATTTATCTAAATAAATTACAATTGTCATACTCACAGAAATTAATGGTTGAGATAGAAAATAAGATTTCTTATTTTATTTTATTTTTGGATAAATCACATATATCTTTTATGAGAGACAATCTTATTCGAACAGAAAATATTCACATTATGATAGGACTAGCTCTTCTGAAGAAGATTTTTTACATTTGCAATGCTAAGATTTCTTATTTTTATGCCAAACTAAATAAACTCCATTGCTTGTTAGCAAATATATGATAATAACTTATTAAGCTAGCAGGTAGTAGGCAGAGGTTGACAAATAATTTTATGGGGATTGGATTGATCATGTTGAAGGAGAAGAGGTAAGATTTTTGCAGACACAAAATTTTGTGGGACCCACCACTTTAATAAAAAAAAGCTTTCTCGTTTTTTTATGAGTCAGTGGCATGATGGCTTTTGTTTCGTGCAACATTATAGTTGCATTTCCTTAATTTTATATAGTGAAAAATGTTTGTCCTTTTAAATGACACAACTTATGTTATTTCACTCTTACAAAGAAGTGTACCCACATCTTTATTTTTTCTGTCCACTCTCTCTCCTCCATAATATATCTATTTCTCTCACTTAAAATGACACAACTTTACATCCTTTTAAATGACACATATTTTTCCTTTTTATATATCTAACATTTGTTATAATAAAGTTTGTATTCACAATATATATTTTCTAAGATAACCTCGTGTCTTTCACTACTAAAAAAAGCTTGTATAGTGACGGAATTTCCATAACAATTCCGTCACTATACAAGTTTTTTCTAGTAGTGTTTCTTGTTTTGTCATTCTCATTATTGTGAATGCTAACTCCCTCCCCTCCTTAACAATATTAACCCATAATTTTTTTAAAGTTCATAAAGATATTGCATGCATTATCACAAATTCACGATCAGTGAGTGTTTAGATTAATTTATTTTATACTTAAAACAGCTTATGATACAAGATTATAATTATTTATTTATTTTTAAAAAAAGCTATTTATCCCAAATCATAAATTTTCACAAAAAAAAGAAGAAGAATGTTTCGACATGCCCAAATTTTATTACTGGAAACAGGACAAGAGCAATTTGGACACCTACCAGTACATAACCACAAACCACACTAGCTAGGGGATCATCAAAAGAAGATGGGGGGTATCTTAGGGAGCACACACGGATAGAATACGGCAACACGTTATATCTCGTGACTTGCTAAAGAAAGCGAGAATCGAAGGTTGTAGATGCATCAAGTCCTGGAATCAAGGGCCATGATAGTGCTGAGATTCATTGGGTGCATGTACTCAGTGGAGCCTCTCAGGATTTGTTGGACTATGATTCGACTAGCTCTCTCGGATGGATGAAATGGATCCCAAAACGCGTAAATGTCTCGGTTTGGACACAAGTTTGAGGTGGGTGTGCAGAGTCCAATCCCGTTGTATGGGCCTTGCCCGCAGCAAGCTATCTTTGATGTGGCAAATCCTGTCACAACAAATACATAAATAGAGCTTGAAGTTTGGGCTTCATTTTGATTATAAGTAGAAGTTTTCAACTTTTAAATCATAATATATAAGATGATTAATATTGATTTTATTTAAATTTAATATTGTTCATATATAATTTTTTATTAAATATGTTATTATTATTGTACTTGTACTAACGTGAGAAACTTCTTGTTTAAGAAATGAAACAATTTTTTAAAACTTCTTTTTCTATCTCGTACTTAAAATAAAATATGAAAACATTTAAATGCTCTGTTATATTTTTAAAAATTGATGCAAATAAATTAAACAATGCCAAGTGTATCTGTCATTTCATAATTATCACATTACTAATAAGAATTTGTAAAAAAAATTGGATAAGGGACCAACATTATAAATTAAGAATTTAATTGATAAATTTAAAATCTCACAATCTCTAAATGCAATTGTGTCAAAAATTGTGTGTATATATATATAGCAATACTAATGCTAAATATTTTTCCCAAAAAGTAAATAATTATAAATTTAAAAGTGGATACCATAAGCTCGAGGGTTGGAAATGAAATCCATGTGCATTTGATATGCATTAGCAGCAATGAAGACGTCAGCGCCGATCTCTTGGTTTAGTCCTCTGATCATTTGAGCGAGTTGGGGATTGTATAAGGATGCAGCTCTCTGGAGTTCTACGTCGCAATCACCAGTTCTGCTTCTCATTGCTAATTCCGCCGGAGCACACCCCATTGGTCCTGTACCCGTTACAAGAACCCTACGAACTCCCAAATCATAAAGCCTCTGCATGCGTTTGCAAGTATATATATCTATTTGTGTTAATTTGGTCGTGTACATATATATATATATATATTCAAATTTACTAATAAACTATTACAATACTTTATACCTATTACCTTAAACACACATGCTATTAACTAGATTATATAGGATAATATTTGCGAGTAGCTGAGCTGATGATGTAACGTTAGAAACTGCATTAAATAATAAGACGTTTGAAATTGACAAACAAATTTGGTATCCCTCACCAACCAAAAAACATGCACATGGCTTTTGCGCGAAAACACTCACTCACTCCCTCACTAACTTGCACATGCAGGAACTTACAGCCTATGAAATATGACCATGACCATTTATTATATAGTTCCATTACACATTAAAGATTTTAAAGATGTCCATGTTACGAAATTTCTTTAAAAAATTGCAATCTCATATTTTGGCAATTGAGACATATCCAAGATAATGATTCATTAGAGGGCATACTTCAAAGCAAGTAATTATTGGGTTGGGAAAAAAATAGTACCCTCAGAACTTTGCTGTACTCAGATATGATATAGCGCACGTAATCTGGGAGAGAAAATTGGCGAGATCTTGCTGAATAGGGCACCAAGTAGTAATTGTTAACAAAGTCGTTTCCTCCAAGAGTGATGAGGACGATTGCTCTGTTTACGAGTCTCCGGGCTCCCTCCACTCCAATGTGTGCACTTAACCTTCTCTGGTACTGTTGGAATAACTGGAGTTGCTTGTTGATGTGGATGATGTGCAACTGCCAAATCAACCGTACATGTTATGTTACTACCAACCTTTTTTAATACAGTTACCATGAATTGATTTTATATACTTTTTTTTTTTTTTTTGAGTTACCCAACCCTAATTATCTCTTTGAGACGAGTTGGCTCCCTCCGGTATCCCCACAAGCTTCGACTCTTTGAGCCGGCTATGAGACTAATCCGGAGTGCGGGGGAACAGTGATGGCTAAAGGTTCAGCCCCCTCCCCAAAAATGCATTCAGCGGGAATCGAACACATATCCAACCCCACTAACTCAGCGCCAAGTTACCAACTGAGCTGCACCCATTGGGTAATTTTATATACTTTTATTATGAAGAAATCAAGTAACCAATATATGCAATCTAAATTAATTGCACTATGTTCTGCTGTACTTACAAACTGAATTCCCGTGTCATTGAGAATCCCAATTCCAGCTGATGCAAAATTCGCACCAATTAAGAGTTTCTCTCCAACTAGTAGAGGGCTCAAATACGGCAGTGTAGGCTCTAAGCCAAGCTCCAAACCTGCAATTAACCAGAGTGTCATGTCACATGAGAATCAATCCTAGTTATTGGCCATGCAAGCAAATATATAGTAGAAACAAATAGGCATGGATGGATGTAACAAGTATGATTAGTACTCAAAACATATGTTGGTTTATTTGCAAATAAATATGTGAGAAAAGGATCATACTGATTAAGTCAGGAATGTTTAGGCCATTAGAGAAGCGTCCAGTGGGTCTGTGTGATGGCAAGTCAATGCCATAAGGTGGATTGTCTGCTCGGGCAGTGGTTGCCAAGAAATCATTGTTTCCACTGTCCACGAGTGAATCACCAAAAACAAAGAAAGCACGTGTTGATTGAGCAGAAGCAGAACCCAGAGCCAGAACCAAGCTTATTATTATACAATAGCATAACACCAAAGAACTAGCCATGGCTCTGTGTGTATGTATGTATATGTCTCTTGAAAACAGGAGGACTAATAACCTTTAATTTTATATAATGATTGACCTGTGGTTTGCATGGAGCAATTGGGAAGGGGCTATATATAAGGTCTGAGAGGTTGATCTCTGTAAAACACATTCATAAATGTCTTCTTCTACCACCTCTCTAGAGTTAAAGCAAACCGCCGAATCAAGAAGAAGCAAGTACCACAAATAATTGCTCTTGTGACTGGTCTTAGGAAGTGAAATTTTTGTCACGATTCCAATATCCAACCCCAGTGTTAGTCATTTCTAGCCGCTTATGTAGCGGAGTTTAAAATAACAGTGATTCTTCATCAAAACCACAACAAAAACATGAAGTTCAATATATTTACCACAACTTGACATATTACTTGACTACGCGATTTATGTTATATTCCGGGTGTAATTAAAAGGAGAAACTAGCTATTTGTACACCGTTTATCAAAGTTAATTAGCATTTGACAAATTAATTGACCACCATCTTGAATCAGTACAAGTACTATAGGCTAATTAGGAGTTAGGAAATTACATAGCACTGTTATTTTTTACGAAACTTTATTTCAGGAAATGTATTACTTTCCTTTTTGAATTCTTGTGCTGTTTCGCAAACGGCAATTATAGTAAGAGAGAGGTGTAACTTTTTTCTCAGCGAATAGTATATCTTATTAAGAGAGATGGGATTGGACTTAGTTGAGTAGGAAAGAGAAGAGAGGATTTAAATCCATTAATGTGAGAATGAAAGAGTGGCTAGTTAATAAAAGGGTAGATCCACACAAAAAAAAAACAATTGACGTCAAAGTGTGTTGATATAATTAAAACAAGAACTGTTTCAGGCAGATCGAATACTAGAGTTATGCCCTGCCAGCTTTGTTGTCAAGCTAGTTCTGGAACTCGTTTGTTGAGATATCGTTTGAAAATGACCCGCTAGTGTACGACGAGAAGATAGCATGATGATGCTTCTAATTAATTCATCTCACAAAGGCATTCAGGGTCAATTAAGATCATTTTAAGTTCCAATTGAGATTTGATCACACGACAAAATGTTGGTCGAGTCGCTTTACTTGCAGTTTAGTCTAACATCTCTCAGAGACTCAGACACACCTGATGGGGAAACACACGAGTTCTTTTAAGCACCGAAAACTTAGGCAGCGAAATAGAAGATCAAAGGAATAAAGTGAACACAGAAAGAACCTGTAACCCGAGAAATAAGCAGGCCTCGCTAGTATAGACAGGATTATGTTCCGGATATTTCAGTTCATTCATGACTAATAATCATTGAGGTTTTCTGTTAAACGCTGCTGTCACTCGTATCTTGGTTGATTTAGAATATTTAAAATGTCAAATGGTCAATATTATTCCCTTTTGAGCTAAACACGATATAAAGAAATAGCGTGGTGTTTTTCATCTATAATTATAAGGAACCAATTAAGGTGTGGGGAAGAAATGCAGACATATGTACATGTGATCAACATAAATAGGGTGGCGTTCGGTCACAGCTACCCTCCTCAAGTGTCACTATTATATTTCTTTTTCCTTGGCCCTTAATTAAGATTGAGGCTTCCACTTTTCTTTTAAGTTTTAGTGAAAATAAAACATATCACTTGCAAAGCAGAAACCAACTAAAAAAACTAGAATGATATATAGACCAGTTTATGTCGAATTAAGGTCATGGACCCTTTGCGTATTTAATACTAGAATGATCACTCGAACAACGTCTAGCTAAGTATACATATTGACCATGTATGAATCATGATTACTTGATAATCTGCATTTATTCCCAAAACGACATCGTTTTGAGATTGAAATATTAAACAATTATAATTATAAAGATTATAATAATCCTGAAATAAATTAAAATTACAAAAATATCATAATTTTCGCCCGTCGTATTGGGTTTACTGCAGATAATTTATCTGCAGAACCCTAAAATTAATTACAGATATCAACCCATTTAGCTCATTGTTTAGATAAACATGATGTGAATTGAAATAACTCGAAAATACAATAATAATGAAAATTAATCAGGTTAAAAAAAAACAAAATAGATCATATTCACAACCTTTTTCTTTCTTAACAACTTTATGTTGTAATTGTTAATTTGATTTATAGCCAACAATAAGAAAAATTGTCATAAAAGATTGTAAAGAAAACGGTTATAAATATAACACCATCTAAAAAATTAATACAAAATATATATATTTAAAGTAATTACTTAGGTTATACAAGTATATATCTTTATAATTATTTGGACCATGTTTGGATTGATATTTTAAAAATATATTATTTAGGGATGGTGTATTTTCATATACAATAATGTTTCTCACATAGTCCCATTTCATTTTCTACATTCATATTCTTATTTTTTTATCCCACACAAATATGAGATGATGTGACTAATACTAATGTTTTGTAACCATTACTCTTCTATATGTTGTAAATAAAGCAATAAAATTAGAATAAAGTATATATTTTATACAGTTAAGTTAGGCAATGTTTGCCTGCAACAATTTTCAGAAAGCAATTTAGTACAGCCCAGATACTTAAGTTTACTCAAGACTTCAAATTTCAAGCCCAATAATACTTTTGGGCTTAGCCTCTTGTTACAAATAATATCACAACTGACAACTTACAACCCAAATTATCTCACAACTTACAACCCTCTTTTTTTATTCCTTAACCTGGGACATTCATTGATACAGTATCTCTGCATAGAAATCCATGGACCTGCTATGTTTTTTTTTTTTTCCCCTCAAAGCAACACTTTATGAATTTCCGTGGTTTCAAATAATTTTCTTATTATTGCACACCTAGAAACGATATAGGCTAAACAATCAATATAATACAGCATCTTGTGCAGGAGGTTTGCCCACTAGAGAAAATAGGAAGAAGTCATTGTTATTAGGTCCTTGAATCCAAATGCATAATGGTACTGAGATTCATTGGGTTCATGTATTTGTTGGATCCAATCATGAATGTTTCCACAATCAGTCTGTTTGCTCTCTCGCTTGGATGGAAAGGATCCCAAAATGCATATATATCCCTGTTTGGGCACAGGTTAGAGACCGGAGTGCAAAGTCCAATCCCATTGTAAGGTCCTTGACCGCAGCATGCAACTTTTGATGTGACAAATCCTGCATATCATATTTCATTTGGCTAATGAATAAAGATAGGATAAAGTGTGTCATTCTGAAGGATGTAAAGTTATATCATTTTAAGTGAGAGAAAGAGATAGATAAAGGATGAGAGGGAGTGGACAAAAAAAAAAAAAAAGTGTGGGTCTCACCTCTTTATGAGAATGAAAAGATATAAATTATATCATTTAAAAGGACAAACACTTTTCCAGTAAAGATAACTACTACTTGCAAATGCCTGAAAGGCCAACTTCTATTTTACAAGTCTAGTCAAAGCTATGTACAATCAATCAGTTTTCCTTTTTTGCTATAAGCCGAATTTCCAATGTCCAGTCCTGATATGGACGAAAATGAAATAATTTTTGATAGGGTCTTAATCTATTTAATGTTTTATTAAAAAAGATAGTAACAAGATTTTTTTTTTACCATGTGAAAATTTATGATGAGATGGTCTATTTCCATGTGAGAATAACATATCTAATCTAATGCGGGAGGTTGGGGGTTGGGCACCTCAAGAAGGCCCCAAAGGATTAAATGAGCAGTGCAGAGGTCAGTACGCAACTTTATTACTAAAATGGAAAGTACCAAAAGATGGTCCCAAAAGCGTCTTCCCCAATTCATAGGCCACCACAGGTTATGATCAGTTCCCTTAATTGTTTGGGGACCACTCCTCTACGATGTTAGAGTGATGCTCTCATTAGAGTAAGGTTTGCATAAGCACAATATTCGGGCCATATCAACAAGGATGTGCAGAGTTTATCTAGGATCATCACTAGCTTACGAAATAATCTGCCTATAAACAGCATGCTCATACAATAAAATCTGCTATCTTTCTTAAAATACACATGTCAAGAAATTCAAAGATTTTCAGCTTTACTGCTTGCCTTTGCCTTAAAAAGTAAGGTCAATATATAAATTTTAAACAAAATAGAATAAGAGTAAATTTTTTATAACTTTAGTGTGTGTCAAAATCATTTATTTTGTAAATAAAAAATTCAGCTATAGGTTTTTCTAAAATAGTATTAATAATTTTAAAATAAAATAAGTTATTCAAACGCGTGTTTTATTTTTTTCCTTTTTTCAGTCTTATAATTTAATTAAAAAATTAATGGAAAAGAAAGAAAAATAAAATAAAACGACTAATTTGCTTTTTTTAATGTCTTATTTCATTGAATTAAATTTATTTTAAAAATTTAATATATAGTTTTTAGTGGTAAAGGAATGATTCATTTTTGAAATCAAATTTAACTTTTTTTATACTGTCGGTGTAAAAAAAAACACTAACGTTATTGAAAGAATTTGACTCAATAATTTCTTCAAAACTTAACTTTGTAATAAATTGACAATACATAATTAAATACTATTAAAAAAAAAAAAAAAAAAAAAAAACTTCTAATAATAATGTAAAGGTTGCGTAACTTCGTGCTTGCTTCTGTTGCATACAGCATACTTCGGAGTTCGGACCATACTTTTCAGGGTCCACATTAGAATTTCAAGGGATCCACAAAGTGTAATCATTATTCTCTTTCATTTATAATTAATTTTTTATTTGAAAAAGATAAGAAATATATTAAAGAAAAATTTATTAATTAAATTTTTTTAATTATATGTAGGCTTTAATATCTTTAGTAAATGTATGTAAGTTATCTACATTTATTTTTAAAATAATGTTATTTTGGATTAAAAAATTATAATAAAAAAGACTATTATAACCCTGAAATAAATTTATAATTAAAAAAATCTTAATTTTCATTCCAAAATAATATCATTTTGAACTCAATATAAATAACTTATCTATCTTTGGCAAGAGTGGATCCTCTCATGTGAAAAAGTGATGGTCATGTTATTTGATCACAATCATTCATTGATGATGAGATAAGAAAGAAAAAATACATAATTTTTAAATAAATGATTGTGATTAAATAACATGATCACATGATCACTTTTTCACAAATCCACCCAAAAAAAACTAACGAGCAATGTTAATAGTAATATAACCAACCACTCAGATCCCTAGAACCGATTTTCCGCCATTTGACCAGATCTGCAAATGGCTCCATATGGATTTGGACAAGGTTGGGTAAAAGCTTTTTAATTTTATTTTCATGTGTTTTAAAAACTGAACTAGACAGATAGATCATGAAACAATAACACATTTAATTTAAACCTTATCTGATTTAATTATAGTTGAATGATGTTTAATCACAAATTTAACTAACTGAACTAACTAAATCATAATTTAGAAAGTTTTCCGATTTAATATTAAATTTGGTTTTTAAAACATTTATTTAGAGCAATAAGATGTTAATTAAAATTCAGGAATTAAAACATATAGAGCAACAGTATGTAAGTTAATGCTACAAAAAAAGAGGTTGACGTACCATATGTTTGTGGATTACTAATGAAATCCATATTCATTTGGAAGGCATTTGCAGAAATGAAGACATCTGAACCAATTTCAGCGTTGAGTTCATTCAACATTTGAACGAGTTGAGGGTTGAATAAACCAGCAGCTTCCTGCAATTCTGCTGCACATTCCCCATTTCTGCTACGTTGTGCTAATTCTGCTGGCACGCAACCTAATGGTCCTGTCCCAGTCACCAGAACCCGCCTTGCTCCCAAATCATAAAGCCTCTGCGTGCATTTAATTTAATTTAACAATACATTGGCACTCAAGTTAGCATACTTAAAATTTTAAAAAGACACGTGAAAGAGACAGACAGACAAAGAGAGAGACAGAGAGAGAGAGACCATAACACATTAATTCGACATCGATAATATGTTTGTCCATATGCTACTTTAGACCACTGTTTATAGACTGTATATTGGGTGATGGCATTCAAGAGGATAGATACTTATAATCGGCACAATGATAAATGACTTGAGCAACCTGTCATGTCTCACCATAACTCAAATTGCTTCCCCAGACATACATTCATATCATAAAGATATTCACACTTTTTTGAAGTCCCCGCATTCTATTTTTTTTTCCTGCGAATTCTAAATAATAATTGATGTGGATAATTAGAGGTTGATCTGATAGAAAACTCAAGTGGATGAACATTTGACATTTCATTTATAAATTGAATATTCTTTGTTTGTAAAGATTATATAGGTAACAGGAAAGGAAATGATATGTTTATAAAAAAATTTGAATTTTTTTTACAAATTACACTCTGTTCTTCCGGGAGAATATAGTTAAACCAGTGTTCTCCTGAAAGAACATAGTGTAATTTGTAAGAGTTTACAAACAAAAAAAATTTGTAAATATAACTTGTTAACATAGCAAAATTATTCATAACGTTGAATTAGTTTACTAATCTACTTTCCTTTCACACCTATCTTTCATGTTGCGTGAATACGTTATGAACTTACGTAAATTATCTAAATCCTTTATTATTAGATTAATCCTAATAACTTAAATTAGGTGGGAAATAATATTTTAAGATAAGTTTGTTTATAAAGTGAGTTAGTAAGAATATATCATTCTTTAATTTTAATGAGTTAAAATCACAATGCACTTTAAATTAATCTTCATAAATACGTATTTGCTTACTTTAAAGACAAATTCACTTTAAAAGGATTTTATCCAATTTAGTTAGATGCGGAAACCCAAATTGATGTCTAATTTTCCCCAGATCTTTGAAGGTAAAAGGAAAGATAAAGAAAAGCGTAATCATTTAAGCGTATAAGTAATCTTTTTTATTGGACAAAAAAGTTGAATTAAAGAAAAAGAAAAAGGTAAAGTGGTTTCTGGTTTATTTTTTTAATTTTATTTTTTAGTTGATATGTATTTTTTTTAGTAATAAGTTTATATGTATTTAGTTATAATTACTCCATCCATTTTAAATTAAATGTCACTTTAAGAGTTTCAGTTTGTTTGAAATTATTTGTAACTTATTCTAGAAGGCATTAATTACCTTTTTATTTCAATTTTATCATTATCTTTTTTTTTTTGGTTCGCAATTTTATCGTTATCTTTTAGTATCTCCACTTAGTGAAATGAGAGAGCCTTAACGGAGTAAGATGATAATATAATCAAATAAACCTATACTTCCTTTAAATTAAGAGTAATTGAGGACTTTATTAATTCTTATGTAAAACCTTAAAACAACAATCATTTTAAAATTAAGAAAATACAAAAATGTCACATTATTTTGACACTATTCCTATTCCCAAGATGTTGGGAAGGAAACAATGACATTTTTTGTTATTTTCATTATTTCTTTGCAAATTCTTCATAATTAAAAAATAAAGTAAAAACATTTTTATGTCTGTAATTATTAATAAAAGCATAATAACAACAGAAAATAAACTAAGCTTTACCTAAATTTTTCTTTCTCAGATAAAAGGAAAATTATAAAATTTAATGTAGAAATAACAATTTTGATAGGTAAAATTCATAGAAAGAAGATATGCTATTGCATATTGTGTAGCTAAAAGCATCTAGATGATAAAATTAAATAAATGTATATATTTGGATATCAAATATATGAGTCAGGATCATTTTACACTAGTGTAAGTTACACTCTGAATCTTGTCCATTGATCCCATTTATATCTAAGGGCTCAAATTTTTTAGTAATGTGAGCCATTAGATACAAGTGGATCAATGGTCAAGATTGAGTGTACGACTTATAACTCTTACACCTGTGTAAGAATATCCTACCCCCTATATATATATATATATATATATATATATATATATATATATATATATTTCAATAAACAAAATGAATCTGACTTGTTCGGTTGTTCTCAAATCTATATGTAAATACATTATTTCAAGTTGTTCCTTGCTTAGAGTTGTTCATTACTATTTTGGGATCATTCATTGCATTTCTTTTATACAGTGACACTACACAAGTACCTTAAGCAGAAAGTAACGGAAAAAAAAGTATAACAGTAAGAGTAATAGCAACAAAAGAGGAGTGAAGGAGAGCAATATATACCGCTAGAACTTTGCGATACTCGGAAATGAGGTATACAACATAGTCTGGGAGTGCAAATTGGCGAGATCTTGCAGAGAAGGGCACCAGGTAATAATTGTTGACAAAATCATTGCCACCTAAGGTTATGAGCACCAGTGCTTGGTTTACCAGTCGTCCAGTCTGTTCTTCTCCGATTAGTGAACTCACCCTTTGCTGATACTGCTCAAAGTACTGCAATTGTCTGAAGATTCGTATTATGTTTATCTGCAAATGTATACATATCGCATTTTAATATATATATGGTCTTACTCATTGTTCAAATAGTGTAAGTAAAACTAGTTTGGACAGAGGATTATATATTTGCCTCATAATTGCTTTCCCACTCTTAATTAAACAGAACAATTTAAAATATCAAGTAAAATATAAGCAAAAAGATAATTACACAAAAAAATTGAGCACATAACTACACACATGTACAACATTTGGATCATTGATGGAAGAAAAAAGAAAGAAATTTGAACGATTATGGTTAAATATAATAAAATCTGTGAGAGACTTTTTTTTGTATATATTATATTATTACTCAAAAGTCAAAATAGAATGTGTGGCCAAAACAAAACAAAAAAAATGAGTAAAATAAAAGTTGTGCTGTTAAATTAGCAATAGTAACCATTCACGACAAAAAAAAAAAATTAAAAAAATGTAGGCTTACAAACTGAATTCCGGTGTCATTGAGAATTCCTATCCCAGCAGAAGCAAAGTTGGCACCAACGAGTAGCCTCTCTCCATTGAGCTCAGGACTCAAATATGGCAATGTGGGTTCTGAACCAATTCGCTCACCTACGTGTATGTTAATTGATGCAGTTTATTTAACGAACAATAAATAAATATAGCTTAGGATATATAATTAAAACAAAAATACGAAGTTGAATTAGTAATGGATTAATTTGAGGACCCAACTGATAAGGTCTGGAATGTTGAGGCCATTGGAGAAACGCCCAGTGGCTCTGTGAGTTGGATAATCAATGCCATAAGGGTATGAATCCGCTCGGGCAGTGGTGATTAGGTAGTTATTGTTGCCGTTATCAACGAGCGAATCGCCAAAAACAAAAAATGCTCGAGACTCAGCTTGTGGAACAACAATGCTCAAAGTGATCAAGACAAATATAGAAGAAACAAAAACCCTGTTGTTGTTTTTGTCCATTGGGGTAGTGTCTCCAAAGGTACCCCAGCAAATGGCAAATATTAAACCTTTACTTAGGATCCCACTGTGAACAAAGTAATGGTTTAGGGGTTGCCTTTAAATAGAACTCATTCCTTGTGATCTTTGATGTGTAGAATTAAATAACTTCTGCTACCACCAACGGATGGAGATAACGCCCATAATTATGAGACGCCTACGTCCTACGGCCTATCAATACTATTTAGAATTCAATTTTATGTAATGTGTGTTAAATGCATCATGGCTTACAGCTAGATGTTTTTTTTTTTTTTTTTAGTAAATACCATTTTTGGTCCTCAGCAAATTTCACGATACCCATTTTATTCTCTAACAAATAAAAAGGTCCATCGTGATCACTACACAATTCAAAATAGACATATTTAGTTGAAATCGTAGTCCCTCACAAATTCAAAAAAGACCCATATTAGTCCTTAAAAAAACTAAAATGGGTTCATTTTGAATTTTTTAAGGACACGATGAGCCTTTTAATTTGCTAGGGACTAAAACGGGCATCGTAAAATTTGCTGATTACCAAAAAGGATATTTACTCTCTCTCTTTTTTCTCCCTTTTTACTTTCATCGTTTTCTTATCGGCTATCGCCAACGAATAATGAGATAACATATTTTAAAAGGATGTTTTTAATTATTTTCATATTGAGAGGAATTTATATTTATTATGTTTCACCTAAGTTTCTATTTACCAACTATTTGCACTAATGACTGAAAGGGTGTCAATTAATTCTATTGGTAGTATAGATGGAAGATATATAAAACAGATCAAAGTTCATAGTTGCCATTAAGGATATGTATAAGGAAGAGAAGCAGGAACTGTACGATTTGCATATCATATATGTCTCGAGTCTCAACGAGTCAATTCCAATAATATTGATAATGTAATCTGCCACATTTAAGCCTCTTCAATACCTTGTCGTTCTTGTTCCCAATTTTCCCTACCCAGTTAACCTTTATGTGGATCTGGTAGGAAGGGACGCATAAATACATAGTGGTTGGTCTAGGGCAAGTCTTATAGGCCTTGTATCTCACCAACAGATTAAGAAACAGATCCTACTGCTAAAACATGGCAGAGACCATCGTGTAAACTACCTTCAAAATGGAGCATTATTATTATAAAATTAAATTTATAATTATTTGAATCTAGCTGATGCTGTTATTAATCAAAGCAGTTAAATATTTTAGCCAGATTCATTAATTACTTAATGGTGTTTTTTTTTTTTCCTTTGCTTCCTTGGATGTTTAGTTAGATTTTTTTTTTTTAAGTTTAGTTATTATTAAAAAATAAAGAAAGCATTAAATAGAAAACTTTAACAAGTTAATACATTTGTTTTGTTAGGAAAATAAAAAGCATTTAACAGTTTCTTTATTTTTAATTGAATAATTCTATTCTTTCTAATCAAGCTTTCAAATTACTGAATATAAAAAGGAACAATTGTTTCTCTTTGCCATATCACAAGAGATAAAATTATCTCTAGTATCTCCAAAATTATATTTTTTTTAGGGTTGGGAGAACTAATAAAAAATGTTTTAGAAATTCTGATTGTTTTTTTTTTATGTAAATTTTATCAAAACATCTTTCATTAATTTTCTCAACTCTCAAAATGAAGTAATTTTATAATTATTTGAGATAATTTTATCTCCTGTGACAAAAGAATTGATAAACTCATATAAAAATTATTGAATACTTTTTTATGTTCCCAAAATATTAAAAACATACTATTTTTTATTAAATACTTTTTTTAGTATGTATTAGGAGAATTGTTAGAAATGTATAACGAAACTCTTTTTAATTAGGAGGACTAACATTACTTTTTGTTTCATTCTTATTTTATATAATTGATTAATATTGATCATAACAACGTGCATGCTATTTTCAGTATATTATTTCATTTTCAAAGTTCTATAACAGGAACCATAATGAAAATAAAATGCTTATTTTATTTTTATAAATAAAAATATAGGGGGGCCACCACTAAAATAGAGGGAGATAAAATTATAACACAAATATCAAAGTGTCTAGATACTAATATCCTATAGCATAAAACTTATATTTCTCAAAAATATATTAGATGAAAAGTTAAAAAACAAAAACAAAAACAAACAAAAACAAACTATCAAAAAAAAAGGAAAACTCTAATGGCTCTTCACAATTTTTAATATGGCTTGATAAGGCCCATTTGGATGGACTTCGGAAAAAAAATTATGTTTTACTTATTTTAAAAGTATTTTATAAAAGTTTTATTTAAATTTTTTTAAAAAAATCATTTGGATTTTGAAAATATATTTAACTTTTGACTTCTATTTTTTTAGAAGTTAAAATTTGTAGCTTTTAAAAAAAAGTAAGACTTTGATTTTATTTTTATAGATTTTGTTTTTAAAAAAAAAAAACAGATATTCAAATAAATTTTGTAGTAGAAATACTTTTTTTCTGGAAAAAAAAATCGGGAAATGGAATGCCTATCTTGTTTGGGATTTGCCTCCTACTTTATTTTTCAATCAATTAATGCGCTGGTATACTTCTAAAATTGACTTCCCACTTTTTATATTTATTTATTGTGTAATTCTGTTGAATTATAATGGGGTGTGTCTATATTTATATATATAATACGAACTAATAATATAATAAGTGCAATAAATGAAATTTGGTAAAGAAAACGATAAAAAAAATCATTTTAAACATTTGCACAATAATAATAGAAATTAACGTTAATATCTTCTGTAATCTCAAAATACTATTATTTTGAAATTATTCAAGATAAATTTATCTCTTATTATAATAAAAACATTTCTTTCATAATAATATACATAGCAGAAACATAAAAACGACTACAATATACGTAGAATGCAACAAGTTCACATTTATTAAAATGTCCGTGCAACCTGTACAGGAAACAGTTTACCCACCAGTTTTTGACAAATAAAATGAATTTTTTTAATTAAATGTTGTATTATTTTTTTTTAGAAATTTTATATTGACAAAAAAATTTCCTTATAAACTACATTAAGTATGACTGGTCAGACACTCTTGATTGAAATCTGACCAGTCATACTTAATGTAGTTTGTAAAAAAAAAATTGTCAATATAATTTCTCCCTATTTTTGTAAACAAAATGTTATATTTTTTATGGAGAAAATATTTGTCCTTTCAAAGGATATAATGTTGTGTCATTTTAGATCCTAACCATTGATTCCTGTCAATCGACGGCTATAATTTATTGGGTCAAATATATTGGGTCGAACTTTGTTGCTACTCACGGCAAGTGCACCGATCGTACAAGTAATATAATGATTGAATAAGAGATCGTTCCCACGAGGATTATACTCAAGCACTAATTCACTATCGCAAACTTAGTTGGACAATCAAAGTTGTATTTGGAAACAGAATTTGAGTTGAAAAATTAAAATATTAAAACTAATTGATTGCAAGAATTAAAAGCAAGAAAGTAAAGATTTGAATAAACTAATAAAATAAAAACGTAGTTAGGATTTCGATTTCCTTCAATCTCTTTATTACGTTTGAATTCCTTCCTTACGTTAATCGTCCTTAGTATCAATCTAATCAATTCTTTCGCATGTAATTAGGGCTCAATCCCTTGTTACCCTAAAACCTTTACAATCTTGAAAGAACCATAGTTCCCCGGTTATTCCCCAATAATGCAAGCATTAAGTTCAAGAATCTTAAAGATTACGCAAACTCTATGTCTATCTCTAGAATCATAAAGCGTACGATGAAATTATCAGATAAGGATCACACACCAACATTCCTATTGTCATGCATTTACCTATGATCATTATATAAGATTCAAGCCTATATAAAGCATTAAAAACAAATAATTTTAATAACGATATAAAGGAAAATTAACATACGAATTGTTCAAAACATAATAAATTGATTAAATTCCATCTAACCCTAACTACTTAAAGATTTAGTCGGACATAGCAAAATAAAGAACAAAAGACAATATAAAAGCTCCCCCAAACTCCATAGGTGATTGGTGAATCTTCAATATCTCCAGTGCAGACTTGATTTCAATCCGTCTCCGCCGCTCACGAACATGAACCGATGAATCTTCCGCCTTCCCTCCGCCTCCAAGTACCAAGAATTGTGTTTCAATATGAAAAGTTAATTAATTCTGGTCCCCAATGGTGCTTTTATTGGCCAAGAGTTCGTATCCTAGTGGAATACTTGAATGAGCCTAAGTTGGATCTTTCGAGGCGCTTAAGCTTGCTTCCCGCGCTTAAGCCTCCTAGGACGGTGATTGCAGAGTTCGCGTTGCGCGCTTAAGCTCGCTGGAGGGCGCTTAAGCGCGCTTCTCTACTTGGAACTTTCTTCTGGCAGCGCGGTTAAGCCCTGAGTTGGGGGCTTAAGCGCCCAGAGACAGTAGCTATTTGCGTTTTTAGGGAGCTTAAGCTTCAAGATGGGGGCTTATGCTCCTATAGGCAGAGGCTATTTGCTTGTTTAGGAAGCTTAAGCTTCAAGATGAGGCTTAAGCCTCCTCTCTAACAAATTGGGAATCTTGATAAGATCTTCAAATCTTTTTGTTTTGCTTTCCATCTATCCATATCTTCATCTTTGACTCCATTTGTTATCAAATCCCTTCAAAATAGCAAATGTATATCATTTAATTGATAATTCATAAAGTTCATGATTATTATATTAAAACCTTAGTTTTTGACTTATTCAACTTGATTATTTATATTAATTTAGTCTATAAAACAAGATAAACTAAAGGTTTATCAAACTTATTATTAATTAATTAATAAGTTCGAGTCAATAAATTATAACCGTTGATTGACGAAAAATCAATGGTTAGGATCTAAAATGACACAATATTATATTATTTAAAAGAACAAATATTTTTTCCATTTTTTATATACATAAATGTTGTGATTTAATATAATTGATTTAAAAATATTTGTATAATTACTTTTTATGTTTAATTCATACATTTTATTTATTCCAACTA